GGTGGGGTGGGGGGTGTCGGGGCTGCAGCTCTCAGTCCTGCCTGAGGGCCTGCCTGGCCTGTGCAGGCACCAGGGCGGCTGGTGGATGTGACAGAGGCAGGGTACAGGTGTGTGGCCCTGGGCAGAGGAGCACTCGCAGGTGTCATGCTCTGCACGCACAGGTGACATTTTAATTGTCCCTGCTTTGCAGATCTGTCTCCCTGGGCTCTCCATCTAAGACCTGCTTTCCCAGAGGGCAAAACCCACTTTGCCAAACTTTAATTTACTAAAAATAATCTGTCTTCCCTGGCTTAATTAGCTCTCAAGCTCTGAGTGATAGTTAAATCAGTGATAACAGTGACAATAAGTCCTCTTTGGGCTAAAAACAAAATCTGTTTCAACTTGAGCAGGGATTTCTTTGGAAGACAGTGACATAAGGTTTGGGAGGGGACACTCCAGAACAGGCTACCTTCTGGGCTCTAAAATTAACACTAATAAGTGGCTTCAGTCCCAGTGGCCCCAGAGGGCCACAGTGAGGCATGTTGGGCATGAAAGTCGCCAGGGCCCCTTCACCCTCCAGCTCCGGCACGTGAAGGGCCTCTCTGCCTGTGAGGCTCGGCCCTCAGGTCTGCGTTAGATGAAGCCAAGTCCTGGAACTTCAGACTGCGATGTTGACCCACTGAGATTGTGTTTGATGTGTGGAGATAAAATCATTTCTAATACGGTCCTCTGGACATAGCGGGCTCCCCCTCATCCAGCCATTGGCTGTTCTTCTCGCGTGGAATTCCACTGACTTCTGAATGCCGACTACGCTTTCGAACCACACGTCCCTCCGGGGGGATCTAAACCCCCAATCAACAGGCTTCACTCTCAGGGGACCCGGGGCCCGGAGGGCTCACCCCCCGGGGACGGGCCTGGAGAAGATGCCTGTTGCCCTGGGGACAGCTCCCGGGACAGTAGGGCCTGTGGCCTGTGTGCTGTTCACCATCCCTTGCCCTCCCTGTGCCCCCAGATGCTGAGCTGCTTAGAGCACATGTACCACGACCTCTGCCTGGTCAGAGACTTCAGCATCAACCCCATCACCCTCAAGAGGTGGCTGGTAAGTGGCAGCCCCCTCCAGTCCCTCTTGAACACCGTTTCATCCAGTTACACAGGAGTGACCATCTGGGCACCATCCTGATGGCACTGGGCATTCATGAGAGTTCTGCCAGGACATTCAGCCAGCCTCTGTGTCCCCACCACACACTCCACCCCTGAGCTCCTGCCCCAGGGAGCGAGAAAACGGCGAGGACCAGGGCAGACAAGTGCAGCGGTGTGTTCTAAAGCAGGGGCGTGTGTGTGTGTGCAAGTGTGTGTGTGTGCAAGTGTCTGAGTTTGTGCATGTTTGTGGGGAAAGCGCACATGTGAGTGTGTATATGTGCAAGTGTATGCATGTGTGAGTGTGTGTTTAGCAGCAGACCTTTTTAAAATAAAATATTGCTCAGAATCAAATATTGAGGCCTGTTAAAGGTCTATTGGTTGCTGGGGACCCAGGTAGTGCCCCTGGCTCGCCCCTCAGATCCTTGTCAGTGGCTCCTCAGACACCCTCAGACCTGAGCCCACAGCCCAGAGGAAGCCTGGGAGGCCTGTCCCCACCCTGCCGTGTGGGCCGCCCCTTCCTCGCCTTGTACGTGCAGGAGCACTGGTGGCCTCGGGTTCGGACAAGGAGGCAGGGAGCACCCGAAACAGCTAGCAAGGGGCTCGGGAGGAGGGCGGGCAGCAGGCGCGGGCGGTCAGGACCCCTCGTCTCTCCCAGCTCTGCGTGCACGACAACTACAGGAACAACCCCTTCCACAACTTCCGGCACTGCTTCTGCGTGGCCCAGATGATGTACAGCATGATCTGGCTCTGTGGCCTCCAGGTGGGTCTCGGACAAGCCCCTTCCAGGGGATGGCAGCGCCCCGCTCAGGGACTCGGCCCCCTCCCAGGGGGGCACCCAGGAGCTCCCCAGCGGCTCCTCCACCCTCCCAGGGAAACCACCCTGCCCATCCACGCCAGCGCCCTCCTAGGTGGGGCTCCTCCGGTTCAGTGGGCAAGCTGGCGCTCCTCGCCCCTCCCGGGGAGCAGGCGGGTCCTCTCCCCCCAGGCCAGCGCCCGGAGGGGTTTCACCCTGCCCCGCTCCACCCCCTCCTCACCCCATC